ATGAGGACTGTGGTGTTAAGATTAATGTGAGTATCTACCATCAAAAGGTTTTAGAAAATGCTCTAATATTATTACCAAACAAATTAGAGATACTTTTAATTTCAAAAGTGTGCTATAGATTGTGTTCAAGAATATTAGTGTAGTGCCTATAATTTTAATCATTTCCTCATCAAATGCCTCATCAAACATATCAAATGTTTGTAGTAGAAGTCGGTAGCGATATTCATTGTCGGTGTTGTCCACATTTTTCACATCTCCATTCCGATAAGAGGTTTTACAAAAAATATTCATTTATCAAAAGGTTAAATGCGTGGGACACAAATTTGTTCGAAATATTTTTAAATTAAGAAAAAGAAAAATTATGCGGTGTGATAATCTAACACTTTATTAATTTATGCGTTTGGTTAAAAATATTTTTACATAATATTGTCATTATTTGTCAAAAATGAAATTAATTTTCTATTTTTATGTTTCAACTTAACTTTTTTGTACATAAATTGACTTTTATCCCTTATTTATGGAAGTCACCAATATTCAGTAAAAAGTTTGACAATTTTTTATTGATAATTTTTGAAGACATGCAATAATGCTACTAAGGAAGTAGATTGAACTAAATTTAATTTAACACTTTTGATGAAAAGTTTTTGATAACTTTTATATACCAATAAATGTCAAAAACAAATTTATCAAATGTTTCAAGATAAAATAGGAAATAATAGTAATATTTATATTAAATAGTTGTAAGTTCTTAATAGACTCAGATGAACAAGTAGTCTTCATTTAAGAAATATTTGAATAGTAGAATTAAAATTTCATTACTTTGCTAAGACCATAATTTAGACTATAATTAACATCTAAAATGCTTGCTCAATATTTGAAGCGATATTTAGAGGGCAGATAAGTCACTCTCTGGTGAATATGTAAGGTGGTTCAATGCTCCAAAGACAAATGATTTCGTAATTGTCATGGTTATGGTTTGCAGAACGTGAAAGAGCAGAAAACAGTTTATGCGGTTGATACAAATACGCAGAGAACTATATGATATATATACCAAGTCGTTACAAAAAATTTTAGTAATTTGCATATGCAAATAACAGAGTGTAGGGATGAAGCTTTCATACACAAAACTTTAAAAATAATATTAGAGTTTATAAAATTCTGTCTTAAATAAATTTTTTAATATATGTGGAATAATAACGTAAAGAGAACACATATAAGCAAAATTAAATAAGTAACCTTTATAATAAAATTCTCTTACACCAAATTTTTATAACCGCAAACATATGCGATTGAAATGAGTTTATACCTATTTTTTTTATTTGATGTGGAGTTGCAGTTTTCAAACAGGTGCTGTGTTGCAAAGAAGAGTAGAGCTGTAAGATAGGCCTAGTTCTCCTCCAAGGAGGAAACTATATCCAAACGTATACCTTTAACGTTAGAGTTGTGAGATTAACATTGTGCTAAGCCTTAATGGAAAGTCATCATGTTATATAACTTTGCATTCTGTCATACCACAGTTTTGGGGGCATACCTAGTAATTCTATTATTATGTCCTATTTCTGGTTAACACATTTTTGTATGGATTTTGTATGATTAATGATAAAAAAATTCTACAACATGTTTGTAAAGCATAATTTTTTACTGTGTTGAAAATTTATGTGTCAACTCTAGTTGTACAGAATAAGAAAATAGCGACAGACGTGAATGATAAATGTTAATAGAGTGTGAAAGTAATAGATTGAATATAAATCACACTAGTAGTATGTAATTCAATGCTACATATATAGGTGTATATATAATATAAACAAAGACGTATAAAAACGATATCATATAGAATTATTGCAACGATTCCAAAGTGAACTTTTATAATAAATTGCGCATTACTAGATAAATTGTTTTGTGACTAATAATTGTGTCACAAAAGATTAAGACATTTCAAGATATCATTGAAAATTTTAGTTGCAACTGTGTTGCAAGATTAAGCAAACAGTACCTGTGGTTTTGTGAAAAGAAAATGAAGAGATAAGATGTTCATTATAATAATCATTTTTTTAAAAGAAATTAAACAAATTATGTTATTAATTTTAGTATGCACTAACTTCACGATTGGCTACATATGAATATTGAAAATAAATTTCTTACTATTCTAAATTATTTTCCCACAGTACATTGCCATAAGTAAATTAAACTATCATCAATAAAATAATTTAAAATACTTTGCTTGAAGCTAAGCTTAGCTATTAAAGAGTAATATTACAAAATCGAGGTAAGACCCTTCAAATGAAGTATTACGCTGGAATTCTCTACAGTTTATGGTAAATGTGTTTAAAACTAAATTTAAGATATTTCTCATATTTTTTATAATATTAGTTTATGAATAATTAAAAATCATAGTTTTTAAATAATTAAAAAACTACTGGGATTTTTTTATGTACCGTCTTTACAATATTTTTAACACAACTATAATTTTTTTCAGTTGTTTTCTTGTAGTTTCTCTCTATTATATTATATAATAATAGATTGTAGTCTTACTTACGAGTATATCCTTAAGCAAAGGCTTGGAGCAACTCAATAGCTAGTTGCTTAATTTAAAGCAGATCAGTGGGAGTTAAAGAGAACTTAAAAACAACAAACACATGTGAAACAGCAATAACTTAACATTAACTTGAGTAGTGTGAAGAGCATATAATACGTATATTTTGTCATATAATATCGAGTTGACTTTTTTGCAAATAATGGGAAAACGATACATAAGAAATAAAATCGTTGTATTCGAATTGCACAAAAATTTCACTTTAATAACAATAGGTCTCGTCTTTAGAATTTCTTTCCTGTAAACTAATGTAATTGGTGTGAGGGTTTAAAAGTAATTACCCTAAACTAAAATAAAAAGAACATTATTTATATATATAAGTATACAATATATATATATATATTACTTCAAAGTAATTACCCTAATATATATAAATTCAAAGTAATTACCTTAAATTAGAATAAAAAAGAACATTATTTGTATATATATAAGTATATAACATAATGTATACATATAAACCTTAAAAATTAAAAGAAGAAATTATTTAACTAGAATAATTTTTAAGGAGAATATCGTAAAATAATTTAATTTAAATTAAGAATATAATTTGTTTCTATATACCATAAATATTAATAATTTTTAATTATACTGTGTAATTACTACAATTGTAAAACACTAAACTAATGATAAAAGAGCAAAATAGTTAAATTTTTAAAACTTTTACTACTTTCTATTACAAATATACATTTCATATTTACATATACATACATCAACTAAAACATTATTCTTTAAAAATACTAGCATATTCATATGAACATTGATATATACATATAGCTATGAATATTTTACATATATTTATGTATATCGGAATGCTTAAAGTAACCTCATTTACAGTCGTTATATTGATAAACAAAAAAACTTAGCTGCTTAATGTGTATCTTTCTAAAATCTTCAACCATAAAAATACTGAAAACATTTAAGCCATTAATTTGCTAAAGGTAATTAAAATACGATTAAGGGCAATGCACTAAAAATGCAACTTGAAGAGCTGAAAAATCGATGTACGGAAACAGTGAGACAGTGAGTCAGTGAAGTCAGTATCTGAAATAAGATTATTTTTTAATTTTGTATTTTCATTGAATAAATTCAAGTGCTTATATATTCATGAAGTGCACTTCATTTTCTTATATTGCATAAATTATTATTGATATAAGTAATCTCTGGAATAATGAATAAGACACGCAAAATCACATGTTTGTTTATTTATTAACTTTTTTTGTGACATGATTTCGAAGTGTTAATGAAATGTCACAATATTTCATTTCATTTATGCTCATAACTATTCACGGGTGTATGCCTTCACATGTGTTAATCGTATTTAGGTTAAATTTGTTAAATAATTTTATGAATAATTTGCGAAATTCGAGATTTTTAAGATCTTTTTAAAGATTTTTTAAACATTATGTTTCAAAACTTACACATTTATAAAACAAAAACAAAAAAAAAAATAAATAAAATTATTTATTGTTATTTTTAAATTTAATTGACCATATAATAATTCTGATAAAGTGTATCTATACATATTAAATAAAAATTAATTATGAAAAAACAATATTGTAATATTTTAAGTTAACAATATTTTTCGTATTCAAACATTAATATAAAATAAATTAATTTTTATTTCAATATCAAATTAGTAAGGTATTTCGAAGACATTGAAATATGTAAGATTTCATATAATAATAAAAAATTATTTAATTTTAAAAATTTTATTCGCATTCATTATTGAGTCAACGACCTATTAAAAAGATACGAGAGTATGTGCCAGTTTATTATAAATTATATTGAAACCTGAATTTTACTTTGTGTCAATATTATTCTTTACAAGGTAAATCATTAAGTTTACTTAATATTAAAAAAAAATTATATTATTAATAGTAATAAAAAACATATTTAATGTCTCCAGTAAATTTTTTTTGCCATTGGGATTACAACAAATATATTTTCTAATGTAAATTTTTTATACATATGTAATATTTATACTTGTTTATTTACAATTTATTGACAGAAAATAATTTAATAAGATATTATATAAAAAAGTCATAGTTGAACTATATAGACATATATAGCAATTGGTTATATAAGAAATTTATATTTGTATATGCAATTTCAGTAAAAGGTTTATTAATCAATGCTAACATTTTCTGGAATTTAATGATGTATATATAATGACAGTTTTTTTAAATTAATTTTTCATACGACGACATACACCTTAAGTTTTTTTCTAACAAGTCCTATATCTTATTTATACATATATCTTATATTTTATCTTATACTTTATTTATAAAGTTTGATACATAATTTTTAATTAAAATAAGCAAATTAATTATTTTATTATTAATTATTTTATTATTATTTATATTACTCATTTGCATGTTTATTATACATAATAATAATATTTCATTATCTTAAATTTTAATATGATAGGCTATAACATATCATACCTTTAAAAGTGAGTTTCTTCTTATGGCATTATTTCCAGTTAATTTCTGAAAAAAGAAATAATAATAACAATTAATAAGATTTAGATTTCTACAAAAAGATTACATATATATATTGTAATTTTAAGATATGTATTAAATAATTTCAAATTAATATTTATTAATTTATAAATCACTAAATATATAAATCTGCGTATATTACTATTTAATAATTTTTAGTTAGATATACGGAAAAGCAGTCAAATTTTTCTTAAGTCATGTGATATATGGCAAATATTTAAAAAACATCATTTATTTATTTATCGACTTATATAATATGAAGAAATGCAATATTGAATATTTTTTTATAATATGAATTGAGCAAAATACACTCACTTTCCTCACTCATAAATATGTTTTAATTTTTATTAGATGTATTTATATGTGCATTTTAAATGATTTAAGCGATATATCAAAATAATTTATTATTCATTAATCAGTTGAGTAATATTTACTTATGGATATGTTGATTTGAAGAAGACAAAATTTATACACAATTTTACTTGTGATAATTACACGAAAAATCTACAATAAGTTATACTATAATAAATTTTCTAAAGACAGGGTTTATAGGTGTAATGAGTTTCTTATAGTCAAGAGTATATTAAAAAATATGTCCATGATATGGACATCAAAAAATATATCGACAAACAAGGTATTAGCTAAGAGTTAGTTAGATAAATAGATACCAGTGGCAGCACGTCTTACAAAGAGATACAGCTTACTTAGGTCCTTGTAATGGCTTATTGTTAGACCATAGATTTTTGAAGCACGGTAGCTGTTTCAAAAGGTTTTATATTGAAATTAAAAACCAATTTCACATTATAATGAAACGGACAAAGTTCCTATTCTATATTAACTCGTATATATGCGATGTAAAACAGACAATTAAAAAAGGGAGACTTTAAAGGTGATAAACGCCTTCTGATGAGTGCTAAAAATAAATTTTTGCTATTGACGAAATACTTTAATAATGTGTACTCATATTCCTATATATGCGATATAACATAGAAGAGGTATTTAAGGGTTTGACATTCTAAAGTGGATAAATACCGACTTATAAGTGCTCAAAATCAGTTTGTATTTTTAATAAAATGAATAATACATACATTCAGAAAAGTGTGCTCTAACCACATACTAGTTAAATTGACCTTATCATTTTGTTAGACAACTTTTAGGTCATGTGGTAAAGAAGATATAAACACTAACATATGGTATAGTTGAACTAAGAATTTTTTAATCTGAGATTTAGTTAAAATCTGGTTAAATCAACTAAATTATTTTTCTGAGTGTGTATATTAACTTCTATCTATGTGATATATGAGAGAGACTTAAGAGAGCTGACTCTAAAGTGGACATACATTTTTTGGTAAGTGCTAGGTAGTGGCTAAGCAGACGGCTGACATTATTCCCTTACTTCTTTGAACTACAGCTACGACAGAAGACAAAACTGGCATTACGGTTATGTTTTTGTTGATGTTTTCTAAGGCGAAATATATAAATTAATTGTATTCAGAATTGATAAACAACTTTTTTTATTCGTTCTGTTTAGCAAGGGTAATATATTAAAAGAAAGAAATCAGAAAATTAGAGATAGTAACTAATTTCAAAACAATTACCCGTATTGTAATAATTTTTGAAGGACATCCTTAAAAGTTTACAGTATATCAAGATATATGCGAGATTAGATCACATGTTTAATAATGATTTTTTCATATAAAATTTAATCTTAAATATTATATTTTCGCAAGAACAAAATTTTAAAATGAATTAATTTTAACCTTAAATCTGAAATTTTTTATGAATTTAAAGCTAGTCAAACTAATACAACAAAGTTATAAATATATATTCATATATAAATTGCATTAATTTTTATTTATTCGTTTTTTTCATAACGAAATTTTTAATTAAATTTTTTAAAATTTGTTTTTATTATTGCAATGTGATAATTAAAAAAAAGGTGCAAAATAAGTTTCAAATTAAAAACTGCAAGTATCTACAAAATATAATAGAAATAATTAAGCATAATAAAATAAGATATGTGGTATATAAAAAATATAAAAAGATATATATACTCAATGTCAGTGCTGAAGTGTCCAGGAAGTGTTTATGTTATTCAAATAAAAAATTTAATTAATTAAAGCTAATAGATATGTTAACACTCTGAAGCTTATCTTTTAAGTCTTTACCAATATCTGTCTGTAGTATAAAAAAAGAAAAAGATAAGAAAAAATGTGTAAAAGAAACTTCTTTATTGATTTCAAACTTAGCAAAAAGCGTTCATAATTATAATCCGAGGGAAAATTGTGCATTTAATCCTTTCTGACGTGCATAACTGCTATGCTTTGATATGCAATTTTTTGAATTTGTCAGTTTTCAAGATACTTTTGCAAAACTGAATAATTGCGACAGCGTAAACAGCTTTTTTTAGTTTGTAATTTTTTATTTCAAAACTTTAAAAAAAAAATAAAAAAAATACAAACAACTTTTAAACTTGTTTACAAATTTAAACTTCAAAGAATTCAAAATATTTTTGTGCTTTTCACAATTGAAAAATGCGTTTTAAATGTGCAAACATAAATATTTTTACGGTGTGTACTTGTTTGGCCACAGTTGCATTTAATGGTTATTTACAAGTCCATGTATTTAAATATATGGATATCTCATATCAGAATACTTGTTTACTTTCATTTTTATTATAATTAATTATGGTGTGCACTGATCTGATTAGTCTGTGATGAAAATGTGCCAAATTTAAGAATAAAGTATTTTTCTTATCTTGATTTCAGATTAGTTTCGATATAGGTAACTAATAAGTTTATTATCCCCGAACTTACGAAATAGATAACTAATAAGATTACTATTCCTAAATCTACTATTCTTGTCTGATATTAGAAAAGACTTGATAGTAACATTTCGATCTTCCTTCAAGGAGTTGATTGTCTTTTTTTTTTAGTTACGGATGCTAAACAACAATAAGAACTGCCGTGATCACAATGTTCTGATCTGAGGGAGTCAGTATTTTTTCTTCTATTTTTATATTTAAAAACGCGTCTCTCAGCATATCATATCAGTATATCATATTCTACATTGAGTTATATTATATGTTCGCTTAATCAATCGCTGAATTTTCAGATTTTCTATATAAACTGCATGTTGAACTATTGTTTCTTTTTCAATAAACCTTGTTTGGTGAGCTCTCATATTTTTCAATTCTATTCAATTCTATTCTTTTCAATGAGTTTTAATTGACAAATTCTACTACGTTCTGAATGTGTTTCTTTATTTTATTTTTAATGAGTTCTACTTGCTGAGCTGTCATATATTCCAAACGTTCTATATGTTATTCTTGTAGACGCGAATTAATTGTATTTGTGCACTTCCATGTCGCACAATCATAGAACAGGATCGACTTAACATTCAAGTTAAGACGATTCAAATTAAGTCTACAAGCCTTCTGCAATAAGTGCCCGCGTCAGATTTTTAACATATGGTGGCCTAACCGCTTCAGTGATGCTGACTTCTGGATCGGTACCAATCAGACCCTCGCACCTGTTGATATCTGCAAACGAAAATGGATTGGGCATATGCTCCGCAGACTAAACGAAAATATCGCACGTCAAGGACTTCGATGGTATCCTCAAGGCAGAGGTCGACGCATCGGCGCACTAGCAAGAACATGAAGAAGATCAATGCAATTAGAAATGGAAAAGCTGCAAATTACTCCTGGAATGACATCATCTGTGAATCGCGTAAGAGCGCGCTCAAAGAGAACGGTTGAGGCCCTATGCTCCACTAGGAGATGAGGATGACAGAATAGAATAGGTTGCTCTGTTGTTTCATTTTCAATGAGTTTTGTATACAAATCTGTCATATTTTCCATAAACTAACTGCAGATTACGCCATGTTTTTATCATTAATGACTCTCACTTGTACAGCACTCATATTGTTGAAATAAACTGCACCTTGTTCTGGTATCACACTTAAACTTATTAAATCGTTTTTTATAGCACAATTTACATAGAAGTGCTTATAGAGAGCAGAAAATTAAACGTAATCAGAAATAATTGTACAAGATTACGGCATAACAATTATATTAACCAATAACTGTTTAGCAAGTCACATGTTATGATATAAATTAAGTCGATATAATTATTCCCACATATTGAAAATATTTAAATTATTTGTAATTAAACTGGGCATTGCACTTATAGATTCTAAATTTCATAATATATGTCAGGTTTTTATACAATTAATTATTCACAAAAATGTTTAGTATTACAACATTAGCTGCATTTGTATATTATTAAAAGTATATTTTAACTTACCGGTTCTAGATTGTGGTTTATTATAATTTTGTGTAATATATATTAGATTTAATGTTCACGATTTTTAAAAAGAATGTGTACACGCCAAGCGAACTGAAACAGCTCAGTGCATTTTACTGTCGTTTTAAGCTCATTGAACCTCAGTATCAACGCTGTCGTCCATTTCAACAATCGTGGTACTTGGTAGCTCACCTTGAAAATCGGTTTAAGCACTACAATTCTTAATTTTAATCATAAACTGCAGCTCTCGTAATAATACTAATAAATCATTAATTAACATAATTACTAGGTTTGAACAAGTTTTAGGTTAGTTTACCATATGATAAGCATACTGTGAGTATGAAGTACTTCATGTGCGAAGTAATAGCATTTAATTATGATTCTTATAAATTAGATCAAGAAGCGTAAAGAATGCACGAAATTAAATTAGACTGAATGCAATATTTTAAAAAAATTTAATTACTTAAAATATATTTATTAAGAATTATTTAATTGCATTTTCTGTTTATCTAAATAGTTTTGTTTTTTTTATACTTATATAACTTAACATATTCAAGATGCTGCCTCCAACCTCTATTGTAATATGCTATCTACCCGTATATCAAGTATTTTATGCACAAATAAATTTTGAAACATACATTTACACAGTGGCGTACCCATGGGGTAATTGAGGGTATTGAC